GTATTTATCAGATATTTATCCTGTATTTATCAGATATTTATCCTGTATTTATCAGATATTTATCCTGTATTTATCAGATATTTATCCTGTATTTAAGCTCTCTTGCTCTAACAGAACTAACCACTAATGCAAACCTGCTGACATCAGGTGTGTGGTCATAATGTTCTGGATGTATATTAAACCTTTAACATGAATCTTTTCAGTTCCGTCTCTTTGGACTGAACTTTCTGGAAACCTTCTTCCTCTCTGACGGCGTCATGTTTCTTCTGAGCCTTTTTTAATCATTTATTTCTTTTTTAAGCAAACAGTTGATTTAATTAGATTAAAAACAAAGTTCAGCTGAACAGATGCAGAAACTCTGCAATCTGACCAGTAAATTAAGAAATGAGTTTTATTACTGACGTTAAAAAGAGCAGATTCTTTTTCAGTGGTCACTTTTTTACAGGAGGAGACATTCAGGTAGGAGTTATTTCAGGAAAAAAACATTAAAATAATAGATGATAAAATCATATCTGTTGTTTGAAATAGAATTATTATTATTTTTTCCTCCTGCTTTAGTTCAAAACAGTGAAAACTAAAGTTCAGTTTGTTTTTGCTGCAGCACAGCGCCCCCTGCAGCACAGAAATGTCACAACATATTGAAATAAATTCATTTATAAAGTCAAGAAAAGTTCTTTTAATCAACAAATAAAACTCTGATCAGAACCATCAAGATTATAAACTGTTATTTAACTAAAACAATCAGTATTGTTTTGTTTTATAGAGAAATAAAATTAAACTGTTTCAGTTCTGGAAAAAATTAACTTTGACTTCTGTTCATGTCGTCCACAGACTGAACCCAGACCAGAACCAGAACCAGAACCAGAACCAGAACCCTCTGCACCAAAGGTGTGGTTCTGGTTCATCTTGGTCCTGGTTTCTGACCCAGTCCAGGTACAGAAACTGAAGGTTTTACTTGTTATTTCTTAAAGAACTAACAGACTCTCTGTAGACCCCACCCAGAAGCTCCTATTGGCTCCCTGAGCTGTCAATCAAAAGCTACAGATGCTGGTTACATCTGGAAATCACTTTATAACTCTGTTTCCATGGAAACCAGACACAAACTAAAGTTATTATTGTTTTAATGGTTTTATTTACTCAAATAAAAACTGTTTTTGTGCAGAAACTCTGATCAAAACAAACACTGACCCCTGCTGGAGACAGAGAGAGCTACACAGAATCACCTGACCAGAAACCAGCTGTGTGTGTTTGTGTGTGCGTTTGTGTAGGTGTATGTGTAGGTGTGTGTGTTTGTGTGTATTAATGCGACTCACCCACAGCCCTGAACAGACACGCTCCGTCCTCCTTCATCTTCTTAATGACAAATCCTTTCTTCTCCCTCAGAGCTTTTTCAAACCAATGTTCCTGCTGGAACACACACACACACACACACACACACACACACACAC